CTCGTTCGACGGCACGAGCCGCCCAGACGTCGCGAGCGAAACGCGATTTCGGGGAGCGAGCGAGCACAAGGCGAGTGCGAGTCCGCTGATTTTTGAATTGGTCGAGCGCGGTGGCAGCGCTGAAATGCCAAACGAGCGCGAGGCAGCAGTGCGGATCGATGGCTCGCCGATGCCGGCTGAAGGCGAAAGAAGCACGTATGCAAAACCGCCGCCGGCGGGAGGAAAGAGAGCGCGCACGCGCGGTCAAAGAGTCAAAGTGAGGAAAGCAATCGCGCTAATGACACCTCGCCGCTTATCGCTAAAGGGACAGAGGCAGGCGGCGCTGAATGAGACCGGGCGCGCATTCCCGATGTCGAAAGTTCCGCTCTTTCTCGCTCGTTTGAGAAAGCAGCTGAAATAAACCGCAATTTCCAATAGCAGGCGGCGCCACAGAGCTCTGTTGGCCGTGTGCGAATGAAAGGAGACAGGCCCGGGCCGGCGATAAGTAGCGCAAAAATTGCGCCCATCTCGCGCAGCCAGATTGACAAGTTTAATGAGAAACCGAGCGGCGGCGGCGGCGGCGGCGGCGGCGGCGGCGGCGGTGACGGCGGCGACGGCGACGGCACTGGCGGCGCGTCATCAACACTAATAGCTGCGACAGAGTAATTAATTCGCCAAGCTGCTTTCCCTGGGCGCCCTCCTCTTTTTCTCTCGCTTTCCCTGCTCCCCCTGCGCGGGCGCGCGCGCGCGCTCTCCTCTCGGTCGTCGCGCCAACGACACATTAGACAATATTACTTTTGGGATCCGTGCGCGCTCGACAATATAAGCTTCCTTCCTCTCTCTCTCTCACCGGCTGGCAGCTTTTTCTAAGCGCGACAAGGCGCCTACTTGAATGCGAGCCCCGCGGGGCGTAAGCCCAGCGACGCACTCGCGCAGCAGCGACGGCGCCGCGGCATCGATAATTCGTCGGCAATTGGAACAACGATCGGACAATCTGTTTAGCAAGAATGGCGGCGCGAGAGCGTCGGCGCGTAATAAAGTTGCCAATGAGAAGAGCGGCCGGCCATGCCTGGCTGCGAAATTGAAGCACGTAGGGCGATAGAGCAGAGCGAGGTTATACAGGAATACATTTTATGAACTGAATAAAGTATCGGCGCAGCGGCGGAGAGGAGCCGAGGGAGCGTAATGGCCCCGGAGCGTTTACCTTGAGTTATTGCCCGCTATTGCCGAGAATTGGCCACGAATCGAGCCTTTAAATTTGACGGAGGAGCCCAAGCCGATAGAATTATTCTCGGCCCATGCCCGCCGCAGTATCGACTGCGACCCGCCGGCCTCCGCCGGCCTCCGTTGCCCACCGCCGCCCACCGCCGATACGCTTTTCACTCGGCGCGGCCAAATAAAAAGGCGGCCAGAGCGCGGAAAGCAATATGTTAATCAAAGGAGGTCCGCGAGCGATAGCCGCAGAGCATGTGCGCCACCAAAGTGCCTTTAATACAATACAGCAGCGGGCTTGTTCGCCGCGCGCCAGTAAGTGGATTACCAGTCTGCCTGCCCGCTCCTCGGCCGGATTTCCTCTTACATCCGAGTCATGTACTTTCCTTCTCTTCTCTTCTCTTCTCTTCTCTTCTCTTCCCTTCCCTTCTACTCCGCTCGCTGCTCGCTGCTCGCTGCTCGCACGCTCGATCGATCTTTTAAGCGTACGTCCCTTTACCTGCATTACCTTTATTACGATGTTCCGCTCTCGCCGCATCCACTCCAATACCTTTCATCTCCCCGACTCGTCCGCCAAGCGCCGCCGCCGTTACGCGCATCGATCTTTGCTTCGCGCTGCTCCGCGACAATTATCAATCTCCGCTGGCTGTGCGCGCGCGCGCGAATTATAATATCACCCGCGCCGGCGCGATATATCACTTTTCCAGCCAGCCGCGCGAACCTAACGCGAGGCGATAATCGCGCGCCGCTGCGACGCCGATGGAAATTAAATGCCCGCGGAGGCATCCGCTCACCTCTGGCTCCTTCGCTCCTTTTGCAAGCTCGCAACTTTTCGAGAGAGGGAGACGGAGTCGGCCGAGCATGAAAGCCCAAAACAACGTTTACCAATTTTCCCCTCTCCACGCCGGCCAAAAGACCGCGCTCGCGCGCGAATTAATTAGATTTTCTTTTTGCTCGCACCCACTTCCGGCCTCTCCCGTGCAGCGCTTGACATCCCCGACGCTCGCCCCGTCCGCGCCCCCCTTTTCCCTTTCGTCCCTTATTTTTAATTATTCCCGGCGCCAAAGACGCTTCGGCATCGGGAAAAACATACAGAGCCATCGCCCAATTTGTCATGGCCGATATACGCGAGCTCGCTCCTCCGCTTTTTCTTTCTTTTTTTTTTGTTTTTCATGCACTCGCTCGGCATTCATTAACGCGGCACTCGTTTTATTAAAATCGCAGAGAAAGAGCAGAGCCTCGAATCGTTTTTGCAGAATTACATTTGGCCGCGGACGAAGGCAATATCGTTGACTCTCTCGCTCTCTCTTTCGCGAGTGCCGCCGTCGATATGTAAAAATAACGAAAACATTACAGGGCGGGCCGCGAATTCCGCGCCGCGTAATCGTTCGACATTTATCGCCGGGCGAGTGTTTTAAAAACGGGCGCTCACCGCACCGATCGCCTCGCGTCGATATCAAATTGTAAAGTTCGGTCGACGCGGGCTGAACAAAAACGCCATTTTCCCCCCTCGTTTTTGATAATTCATCCAGTGCAGAGCCGGGCGATAAAGGACAGCGCGTTGGCGGCCGCCGCGCACACGTGGCGAATCAGATACGCCGGTGCATAAAACATGAGGCTCCGCGGCCAAAAGAATAACACAAAAGTCCAAAATGAAAGAGTGCGCCGTTGGCGTTCCGCGAAAACGAAAAAAAAAAATGAAAAGTCCGGATGAAAATTAGGAGGACAGCTTCGAATTACAAATGCAGATGAGAGTGCTTATTTGATAGGCGGCCGGATAAGACACTCTCTAACCTTTCGCGCTCGGCTCCAAATGTTTCTCTCGTATAAGTAAGACAAAAAACTATTCGCAAATTCCGTTGTTCTTCCTGTCGCTATATGTTTCCTCCGCTGTTCTTTTTTTTCTTTTTTGCTTTTTTTTCTTTTTTCTCTTTCTTTTGTTTCTTTTATTTTTTAATGGGCAATGCTTAATTCGATAGTGGAGCACGCAGAGGTCCTCGCTAAAACGTTTCGGTCTGGAAACTAAAACCTGTAAAAAAAATATACGAAAGAAGCAGCGGCGGCAGGACCCGCGTAGCGCGCGTACAGAGAGAAAACGGAGCCGAAAAATTCGATTTTCCGGGGGCAAAATACGAGTGGAGCCGTCGTTTGCGTAAAATAAAGTAGGCGAGCTCCGTGAAACTCATCGCTTCGGCGAATGCAAATCTGCGAGCGCCAAACTTTACGGGCGCGAGGAAATTAAAAATATTTTTACAGTTGGGACAAAGAGAGATTTGGGGTGCGGGGTTGTCGATTTACGAGGCAGCAGCGTCTCTGCGGGCGAAGCACTTTTACAGCCTTTCGTCGCCTCGTATTCTTGGCGCTCGTTTTCGAAAGCGCGCGGTTTTTTCTTTTTTTCCGCTGGGCAGCGGCGAGGGTGGCAGCGGCGGCGGCGGCGGCGGCGGCGGCGGCGTCCCAGAGTGCATAACGATACGCGGATAAATTTTTACGGGCGCTCGTAAACAAGCAAGACCGCAGCGCAGCTCCGCGGTTCGGCCGTGACGTGCGCGTGTGTGTTTTCTTCGCGCGAGAATGATCCGCGCGCCCGCAGATTCGGTTGGGCTTTATTTGGCAGCCGCGACGTGCCGACAACGACAGACGAGTAGTCGTTGCGCTCGCGCGTCAGCTGGCATCGCGACGCAGACGCCCGGGGCGGGGAGGCCCGCGCTGCCGCGCCGGCACGTGCTCGCTCGCGCTGGCAAGGAGCTACATCGGGGGCTGCCTTGTCAATTACGGGCCGCCTCCTCGTCGCGATCGCTGTCGATTGCGGCTTCAATTTTAACGAGCGCGCGAGCGCGAGGGAGAGGAAAAGTCGCGGCGCGCCCGGCCGTTCGTCTCGCGCCGAGCTCTCGCGGGCGATCGCGCGCGACGCACCTCTCGCAGCAATATCTCGCGGCCGGCAATACGTCATCCGCTCCATAAAAGTATAATGGCCTCTTAAATAAGCACGCGCAGGCAGCTTCGTATTTATACGTCGCTCGGAGCCCCCGAGCCCCCGCGCGTCACCCACCGCTCGCTCGCTGCAGCTTCTCCTTGCGGTCGCGCTTCGCGAGCTCCAATGGCCCATTAGATCTCCAAAGCGCTCGGCTCTCTCGGCTCCGAGTTTGCAAAACGACAAGGAAGGTGCCACGCTGTCTCTTTTTTCCAATGATCTTTAATGTTGGACGCAGCAGTACACAGCATAAGTATATTCAACTTTCCCTCGCGCGCATTACACCAGCTGTTTTGCCTCGGACAGCGGATAGCTTATCCTACAACTTATCACTATACAAGCTGCGATCTGTCGACTCTCTAATTTTCTAGGCTTATACGGTAAGAGTAGGCTACAAAATAAAAGTGCGCGTATAGCTGCACGCTAATGATCAATCGTTCTCTCTCTCTCTCTCTTTCACACTCGACGCATACAATCTCGCAAGGAGGCGCAGAGCACCGGATAGATCGAGATCGACTGGCGTGTCCGCGGACGCAGCGAGCGAGCTGGCTGCGCCGCGGTGAAAGCCACTGGCCAACTTTCGAGGTCGCGTAGAAATCTCGCGCACGAACTGCAATTACACGAGCGCGCGTCGTTACGGCGGCGTGCCGCGGCGCTCGCATACAAATGCAAATGCCACGTCTATTTGTTTCTCAATGGGCCTCGTCACTTTCGACAGCCGGGGCACAAATCATCCGACGTCCGCGCCAATCAGCGCCATAGTACGGTTATATTCGCGGCGAGGCGCCTTGAGCCGCGCAGAGGAGTCGCCGGGCGCGACCAACTGTCGGCGAAGCGCTGGGCTGCCTAAAAGCGATGAGACCGAGAGTTTAGTTGGGCGCCGGTGCGTAGGTCAGGCTGTTGTGGATGTGCGGCTGGGCCTCGCGCGCCCCGTCGCCGTACTCCTCCTCCTCCGGGTGGAATATCGCGTCGTTGATGCGCCGGATCTTCTTGAAAAGTATCTGCAGCAGGCTAGCCTTGTCCTTCGCCGGCGGCTGGTACAGCACGATTTGCTGGTGCAACGGCACCTGCAGTAAAAGCCCCGATTTAGCCTCCGAGATACCGGGATCCTTCTCTACAGGGAACAGCAGCCGTGGCACATACAAAGAGAAACAGTTGGTTTTTTGCTTTCGCTTTTTCTGATACAGTTACCAAATCAATACTCGTCCCAACGGTCACGGCTCACTTTTATTCCCGAAATATTATTTTACCACAGAGCTGTGGCCAACTGGGTCACGCTAATCAGTGTCTCATCATGAGTTTGGGCTTGTTTATTCATAGAAAAATACTTCACATACATGTCGATTTACTGGCTACTGTCATGCGGTAAGCTCTACATGAGAATGCTTACAATTACTTATAGACTCGCAATCACATGGTAAGTATATAATATCCAAGTTTCGAGAGCTATCACAAGAATTTACTCAACAAGTATACAAACGCTTCTTATATATTATTCACCGTGCGAAATGCCCGTGCGCGCACTATTCAAGGCAGCTTTATAGAAATTTTGGTCGATCCATCGGGCGAGATAAGTAATTTGTGGGCTAGAAATAAAAATAATATTTCTGGACTGAGAGAGCAACGGCGGAGAAAAGAGGTGAGCGTTGCATAAGTGAAGGGGGGCTGAGGGGTGGGGCTGGCGGGGGACAAGTTGATTCGGTAACGAGAGTGGGTGACGAAAGAAAACTCACCTAATAGCTCGTTGTTGTCCCATGTCCAGGAAGACTTCTGCTGAAAGGAGTTATCAGGCCAAGCTTCCGGGTGCAGAGGCGGGGCCCAGCTCGCAACGGAGGTCTCGGGTGGCAGCACGAATTCCGGCTCCTGATGACTCGGCCAGTTGTACGAGCGCGGCGGCTCGTGACTGCGACAAATCGCGAGTTACCGATTGTGCGGCCCCGAGGTCGTGCGAACGCCCGGGCCAGCGCGAGCGGGCCGCGAGCGAAAGTGAGCCACGCGTATTCATTGCCATCGTACCTGTGCAGCGACGACAAGTCGATCTCGATCTTGGGCGCGTGATGCAGCGCGGGCTTGGGCAGCGGTATCGGCACCGGGTAGTAGTGCATGTGGTAGTGGTGAACCGGCGTAGGTGGCTTCTTGTGCCCACCCAACGACTCCAGCAGGCTCCATATGGCTTTTTTCGGTCTGCAATCAAGCGCCGGCTTCTTGTACCGTTCTCGCCTTGCACGCGCCGCGCTCGGATTCGCTTTTTGCTTCATTATTATGGCTCGCGATCTAGGCCAAGCGCTCGCTTACTTGCCACGTTGAGCGGCCGTAGTCGCGATTCGACTGCTCATTTTCTCCTCTTTGAAAAGGAATGAGAGACGAAAAATTGACAATTTTCGCGTCAGCCTTGCCACGCGTCGCTCGATCCCGAAGGCCTCGAGGCAAGTTCACGCTCTCTCTCTCTCTCGACATTTGTTTTCTATTCCCGCCGAAAGGCCAACCAAACTACGCTACTTTCGGAATTTTCAATTCAACTTTCTGCAACTTTCGTCACTCCGACTTTTTTACGGCGCATCGTTCGTTCATACAAATGATCTGTCGTAATGTCGTGAGCGAGCATTCTGACGATGATCGTCGACTGATTATACGTTGACAAGACAAAAGTGGGATAGAACGCTGATTGCTAGTTGCGTACAATTGGAAGGCCTAGACGAATAACTGATACCCGGCCATCGCTGTTACTCGTTACTAAGCTTTCCTTATTTGGTCGAGACGCCAACTGAAGTGTCATCGTAACTGCATGAGCGAACCCAACCCGCAGAGCTTCATTACGAATGAAAATGAAGAGACGAACGGCGCTGTTTAATGGACAATGAGTACGTTGGAAATCAACATTGTTTCAATGGAGAAATTGAAGCTAAAGCAAGTATGTAAAATTGGACGCGGAGGATGTGCAGCTCGGTCCTATTCAAGCACATTGTCGGCAATAGTACAGGAATCCCGGTGGCGCGATTGTTTGTCAAAACGCAGCCATCGTACCGAGAATTGCGCCGAGTTACTCGCTGTCTACTGGAAGCATTGGCGACGCGGGCCCGACAGGAGCGAGCGCGCAAGAAGCGGCGGAAGCATCGCGCGGCATTAGAAAGAGCGGCAGAGCGGCTATTAACGGCATTAACGTTTTAAGCGCGCTGTCGCGAGCAGAGCACCGCGGGCGGCTCGCGGGGACGCGCGGGGGGGAGGGGGAGGGATCAAGGGCGAGCGCGCGAGTGATTAATTCCTTCGATAAATGGCAAATGGCGGAGCGGCCTGTTCGATAATTAATTCGCCATTAGCAGCAACAAACTCGCTGCTTAACCGGGCAGCCGTACGCGCCGAAACAAATAATTTATAATCCGTCCGAGCACGCAGGCGGACACGCGCGCGTAATTTCCGCTCAATTATGGACGCTGCACACTCAGACCGGAGCATCCCTCCGCGCCGCGGCAGCTCATTATCCCCGTGTTTTACCTCTCGTTATATTCGGCCAACCTTCGCCGATAATCGGTCGCGCGGCTCGCCGGCCTTTTCGGACTTACCCCTGGAAGAAGATGGCCTGCGCGGCCCCACCAAACACTAACAGCAGCAGCAGCGAGCACGCGAGCTGCAAAACAAATGCAAAAAGGAGGCGATTAATAGAGGCGCGCTGGACACTTGTCGCGGCGAGCGCACTCGAGCACTCGAGTAATTACACTGAGCCGAGGGTTCGTCCTCATGCTGGCGCCCGGCTTGGCAGGGCATGCGCTGCCCACGTGAGATGCATAACAAACTGAGCCGACGGCCTCGACCCGTTCGCCTTATAACCGCGAGAGCGTGCTCTTTCACTCGGCGTCTTCCCTTCCCCGGCGACCGGCGCGCGGCCCGGCCCGGCCCGGCCCGACCCGGCCAGCTCGCCGGAGCGGAGCCTCGCTTTTCCGCGGCGCCCCGACCGGACTTTTCGGTTTCGGCGGATCTAGATTAACGACCTGGGCGCCGCTTTCCTTCGCCTCGGCTCGTCCTCGGCCGCGGGCTCCCAGCAATCAGCGCCTCCGACCTGTCCCACGGCCGACAATGAGCGCCGAGAAAGCCGCGCCCGCGATCTCGCGACGAAGCTCGCCGAAAACGGTCGATATCAGCGCCGAGCGTTCAGCTGCTCGCGTCGCGTGAGAACGCTTTCTCGCGGTAATCGGACATTGTCGAGTTTCGCCGGGCGGCTTCCGGTGAGAGGCGTACCGCGCGGTGTCGTCGGGATCGCCGTCGAGACGCCTCGCAGCCGGGACGTCGTCGGCCGAGCGGCAGATGTGTAATTAGCCCGCGCGCGGCGAACCGTTAGCCCGGAGGAGCCGACGCCGGCCTGTCCGCTCGATCGCAGTCGGAAATCGGCGCCAATCTAAACAGCGTTTGCGCCGGTAACAATTGGATGTCTCGCTCGCTTCTGTTTGCGCTCGGTCGGCGCGACGAGCGGCTGGGCGAATCGAGAGGTGGATCGCTCGAATCAGCCGGAGCCGCGCGCGAATCGGACGAATGCGCCGCCGGGGCCGCACGCGTCGCGCGCGAAATTTCGGGCGTCGCGCTATCTCGGTGGACGCGCGCATAAGTTCGCAGAGAAACGCGAAACTTTCCACGAGCCGGACGCAGCGAAAGTGGGCAGTGTCAATATTTTTCCGCGAGCTCGCGGGCATCGGCGCGCAAATCAATCTCCGCGCGAGCGTCGTCGCGTCGATCAATCATAGGGGAGCACTGGACAAATAGAGAACAAGTGGCCGGGTTTGATGAATCGTACGGGTGCCGCCGAGTCACGAAACGAAAGTCTCCGGGCGCTGGTCGCGGCAGAGGAGCCGGGAGGGCCAGGCGGGGAACGAAAAGGATAGCGGACGCGCGCCGGCTACTCGCGGCTCGTTACGCCGTCGCGGGGAAATTGATACAGGCGAGCGCGCGTTGTTTGACTGGAAATGAGATATAAATCATCGCTTGCCGGCGCACTTTCCAGCTCGCGCGCCCCGTAATCATAGCGTCAAAAGAGGCGCACGTCGCGCGTGACGAATTATACTGCTCGAGGCTCGTCAAGCACCGAGTCGGCGATATCCGCCGGCGGCTGACGCGTCGCCGTCGCGGGAAGTCGCGCATCCGATAGCTCTGATTCGCCGGTGTCACCCCGAGATCCCAGCTGGCGATAACCGATAGCTTTCTACTCGAGCGCGAGCAGCGGCATTCCTAGAAATTGCCGGTGAAAGCGGACGCGTGTCGGGCGCGTACGGTCGGCGGCGAACAAAGAAAAAGGAGAGTAAGCAAAAAAAAATGTCCTTTTTCGCGTGCTCGCGCGGCCGGGAGCACGGAAACGAACGCAGACGGATAAGCTAATTAGCCGGCGGCAGCCCGATGCGCAACTTTCCCCGATAAGTTTTCAGCGAGCGAGGCAGGCGTTATTGAATAGAAACTGGCGAGCTTGCGGCCGATTGTAATTCCCCGGTGGGCGCGCGAGCGCCGCACGCACGACTGCCGGGGCTAATCGGATCGCGCGCCCGCCGCGAAAAAGGAAGCGCGGAGCCGGCCGTGCGCGAAGCCAGGGCAGGCTCGTTAGGCCTCGGCCGCGCCGCCGCGCCGCCGCGCCGCCGCGAGCCGGCCGTCGGTCGGCGAGAGCTTTCCGCGGCGGGAGAGGGACGACGCGAGTGCAGCGGGCGCGTGCGAGCAGCATCGGCTTCTCATAAATCATTCAGCTCGTAGGCTAATCGACTTTCGCGCTCTTTGCTCCTTGAGCGCGAGCGGAGCGCTTTCTAATGGGCTTTATCGGGTTACGCGCGAGGCATTGCCATTCCGCGCAGCCTCCGCCTGTCTTCCGTCGCACGCCATTCGGCGCCTCGCCGCGCGCAAGCGAGGCCTCTCGCGGATGCTTGTGCCGCGCTTAGCCGTCTTCCTTTTGCCTGCCCTGCCGCCGCCGCTTCTCTCCGCGGCCAATTGGAAACGAAGGCGCCCGCGTGCGCCGCATGCGTAATTTACGGCGCGAGCCGCGCCGCCTAGGAAAGTTGTCATTTTTACGACGAGCTTTCCCTGCCCGAGTATATCAGCTTTATAACCGCGAACGCGGTGCGTTTGGAGACAGAATTTTCACCGCGCGCCTACTTGTCACACGCATTACGAGTTTATATCGAGAGGAGAGAGGGGGGAGGGGGGAGAAACGAGCACGCGCGAAATCGCTCCTCGCGTGCGAAACTTGCCAGTTTCTTTCCGCTGCGAGTATGCGCGATCGAGTCCGGCGCCAAGTAATTTGCGTGCGAGTACCAGTCGCCGTGACCAAAACGACGCGAGCTAACGTCGAACGGTTCGGATAAGCTATCGCTCGGCTGATGAAAGTGCGCGCGAGCAGAATTCGGTGTCGGCGCGCCGATTGGATGAAAATCCGGAGCGATCGACTTTCGACTCGCGAGGACACAATTCATGGCTGTGCATGGAAATAGTCGAGCAATAATCGGGCGTTAATTGGCGCGAGAGGCCGACTTTCTTGTTCCGTTCATCGAATTCACCGGAATGCCGCGCGCGCAGCCCGTCTCTTTTATCCGGCTGCTCGCGCCGAAAAATGTCGGCCGCGCGTCCCGGGCCAGTTCGTTATCGGGGCATCGGGCGAACGATAAAAGAGACCGCGAATTCTGGCGCGAGCAGGCAGGTAGGCAGCAGCGGCTTCGGGCAAAGCGGCGACGGCGTCATTAACTCTGCCCCATCTCCGCTGGCAGCGCGTCGCGCCGCGCTCGCTCGCTCGCTCGCGGACGTCGATCGGCCGAGGGACGGGAGCGCGCGCGGAAGGCATTTGTCGGCAACGGACGCTAGCGAACGGCCGAGCGCGACGAGCTCGGCGTATCGACGTCGATCGGCGCCGCGCGGCCGCGTGGACAAAGAAAACAAGCCGCGCGGCTGCGGCGTTCGATTGGTTTATCGCACCGCTGCGGTCGCGAGACGTAATCCGCATAGGCGATGAGCGCGAGCGCGCAGCCGGTCCCCGATCAGCGCGAGGCTGGCTCGCGTCGGCTCGCAGTCTTCGACGCGAGAGCGCAGCCATTTTTCGGGCGACCTTCGATTGGCCGTCCGTGCCCGCGGTCTCCCTGCGGAGCGGCGTCGCTGGCGATTCCCGCGGGCGCTGCGCGTCGCCGTCGCCGTCGCCGCGTCATTAGAGCGTTTCCCGGGTTTATTAGTGAAATCCGCAGGCGAGAGAGCGAGCGAGGCGGGGCCGCGAGGGGTCGGAACAAGGACACCTCGCTCCTCTCATTAAGACGCTCGTTACTCTCGTTAGAGAGGCGCTCGCTCGCTCGCTCGCGCACGCGGACACTCGACTGGCAGACTGACTGAGAGCGAGCGTGCGTATGAAATATATTCCGTCGACTTAACAAGTCGCCGCGGGAGCGCCGAGAGACGCCTATTGAAAATTACTAGTGCGCGAAACATTTAAATATTCCGTATGTATATGCACGGGGCGCGCGGATGCTTATGCATGAGCTCTCGCTCGCGCTGCTCCGCCGACGGTGAGACGTCGAGGAAAGGCGCCGCGAAAATTCGGCAGCGGAGGAGATCCGGTCGATCGCGGGAGAAAAACGCGCGGCGGGCGGCGTATACGTGTGGATGGCAAAGGCGCGGCGCGCGCCAAACTCCGCCAGCGCGAGCGCGCCGCGTGTATCGTTAGGGCCGTGCCGTGGGTGTTCCTTTATTGAACTAATTTTACAGCGGCGTATCTTCGCCGCAGCTCCCCTTTGATGCAGGCGCCTCCCGCCTGCCGCCTGCCGCCTCCCGCCACCCGACCCCCGTCGCCCGCCGACTTCCTCGCCCTCGCGCTCCGCCCGTCCAACTTGCCCCATTACCTCTACGCAAATATAACCAGTTAGCGCCCCGCAGCCCCCTCAGCCCGCGCTCGCGCGCACACTCCCGGGCGGATAGCGGAGCGGCATCCCTCGGCTGCCGCTATATCGGGCGCTCATCCTTCTTCCTCCGCTTTGAGGACTCAGCCGCGCTTCTTCGGGGGGACGCGCGCGGCGATCGGCAGCGGACAAACAGTCGACGCGCGCAATAATCGACTGCAATCGTCGGCGGCAGTCGGCGCACCGGGCCAGACCCACCGGGGCAAGACGTCCAATATTTGCGGCTCGGCGTCGGCGGAGCGCGAGGCGCTGGCCGCGGCGAGCGTGCTACGGCTGCGCGGGGCGACGCTAATGCTGGTAAAATATTTGCGAGCGAGAGAGAGAGACACGTGGGATTCGGCGGCGAGCCGGAGCTTCGGCCGCCGTCGGTCCCGCCGAGGCCTGTTACACGGTCAGCTAACAACCCCTTAGCTGCTCCCCCGGGGCCGGGCCGAGGCAGCGCCCGCGCCCGTAACGATTGTTTGATCGGCCGGCGCCGCTCGCGCTCGACCGCCTCGCTCGTCCGCGGGTGCGCGTGGCCCGAGCTTCGGCAGCTGCCCCGCTGATCGACCGATTGGCGGACGGCCGATCGGCGCCGACTCGGCCGTATCGAGCGACTTCTTCTCCCGGGCCGGCCGCCCAGCCGCGGAGTCGCGTGCGGCCCTGCGCGCTCGCGTGCGCGCCCGAAACTGCGTAATGAAGTCCGCGCACGAAAAGCCGGCGACGCGGCATCAGTCAAGCCGATCGACCGATTCGCGAGCGCGCAGCGACAGATGAAATTTATTCGGGCGCTAATGTTTTTCGTATTGCCGAGTGGCGTGCCCCTAATGGCCGCACCTTCGTGCCCGGCCGCCATT